GACCTTTGATATGTCGTGAACATTGTCACATCTAATATTGATTATTGTTCTAGTCTAATATTAAGCACTTTATAAGCAGAAATTCTCAAATTATTGGGTTGTCTGGAAAGTTCAGGTTGATTTTTAGTTGTTCATGTTCCAACATGTTAGATCATGTCAAATTTATCGAGATATAATATGCTTATATTTTCAGTGCTTTAGCTAACAACTGCACAGAAGTGGTTCACTAAGTTTAGAGTTGGTGATTGTAGCTTTATTAGTGAAGAATACTCTGGCAGACACCCACTACAGATGACAACCAAATCAAGAGACTGATTAAAAATAACTTGTATTACACAATGCAGGAATTGGCAGAAACACTAAATTTATGAAAATCCACTATCCATGAGCACTTAGTGAAGCTTGGGCACTCAAATCACTAACTACAATGTTTGACTACCACATGATCTGAGTGAATAGAATCTCTTGGATTGCATTATATATATATATATATATATATATATATATATATATATATATATATATATATATATATATTTTATATCTGTAATTTGCTGTATAAACACAATGAAAATGCACCATTTTTTAAACAAATTGTGACAGGTGATGAGAAATGGATTGTTTACAACAATGTTCAGTGAAAAAGATCCTGGGGTAAGCCAACTTTAGCCACCCCAAAACCAGGTCTTCATCCTAAGAAAGTCATGCTGTGCATTTGGTGCGATTAGAAACGAATCCTGTACTATGAGCTTCTGCCAAGTAACCAGTCAATTGATTCTGGAAAGTACTATTTGCGACTGGACAAATTAAAAGGCATCAATTCAAGAAAAACACCCAGAATTGGTGAACAGAAAAGGTATTATTTTCCATTTTTGGCAGCCTGGCTGGGATGTGTTACCCCCCACCCGCCATATTCACCAGACATTGCTCCTTTGGATTTTCATTTATTCAGGTTCTTGAAAAATAATCTTAATGGTAAAAAATTAATACTCTGGATGACATAAAAAAAATCACCTTAATGAGTTCTTTGCCAAGAAACTACCAAAATTCTGGGAAGATGGAATCTTTAAGTTGAAGGAAAAATGGAGAAACGTGTAACAAAATGGTCCATATTCAGTTGAATAAATATGTAATGGCATGATTTTGTTTTGTTTTAATTTCCCTTAAAAATTGGCATGAACTTTATAAAGTATATAATTTTACATATATTAATTGCTAGCATTATCATTTTATGTGCATGTGAGTGTGTGTGTGTGAAAATGAGACATGGAAAATTTGTTTTAAAGACATGTTTTGCTTCTTCAGTTTAAAAATAAAAGACAGACGAAACCGTATGAGGAAAAAATGTATTGCGATCTTTGAGGACAAGTGGTCATCATAAATCAAATTAATTACCTCAGCTTATCACCTCTTGATTTAGGGTTGAAGAGAGTCTGCCTGCCTCTGTCCTTATTTGTTTATATCTGTATTAGTTCTGTTTGGGATTGTACGATTTTAAGTCAAGGACTTTTTATTATTTTTTTTTTTATATACTTTCTCTGTTGAAACATGACCTTGAAAAAATTTTTCCACTTTGTCTCATCATTTTCACTATTGTTTCTGATACTATTATACATCCTACAAACACACACACAAATTAAAATACAGGGTTTCCAAAAAAATTTGACATCATTTCACAGGCCAATAATTTTGGCAATTCTTGTTGAAATAACCTTAAATTTTCACAGAATGTATAGAAACAGATCAAGATTTTATATTTAATGTTTTATTTTTGTTCTGTTTTCAGGTTGAGCCATGCCATTCATTCCCAAAGAAAAGTCATTTTGCATCTTGGAATATGCTCGCACACAGTCACCTAAGACTGTGCAGTGTGCCTTCAATGCAAAATTTGGAAAAAACTTCAACTGGCATACAAATTTGGACTTGGTACCAAAAATTTAAAGAAGGCTACTTATGTGGCTAAAGGATCTGGTAGACCATCATCAACATCAGTGCGTTTGGCAAGAGCTTAAGTACTGACTTGACGTGTGCCATGTCACAGGCGGTGCACATATTGAACACTTATGAAATTGGCCCCCTAATAAATTTACGATGTTCAATGAGTAAAGTGTTCAATTTCATTGAGCTAGACTTAGTAGTTTTCAAAATAATTGCTTTTAAAATGATGTCAAATTTTTGGGGACACCCTGCATGTGTGTTATATATATATATTTATGGGGAAGATTGTTCAATATTAGACAGTGTGTGTGTAGATAGACTGTATGGACATGGGAATCACCACTGCATGGTGACTGTCAGTTTCAAACCTCATGATCTGAAGATCACTCAAGGTGTGAAACTGACATCCACCAGTGTCATAGTGTCAATTACTATATCTGCACACTGTGTGTGTGACTTTTCAGTGTGTGCAGACTTTGATCCAAAGCAGAAATGTTAACTCATTAATAATTTTAAATTTTTGACAGGTACTATGGTAATTGTATTGTAAGAAAGGCGATCCATCTAAGGATTACTTTGATTGTAAGCCATAAAAACTATTTTATGCATTCTCTTTTATATATTTATATTCCCTTAAAATATACTGTCACAAGTTTTACAATGATATTCACTCTGTACAATGTCCAAGAGCCACATGAGGTAGAGGGTTACAGAGTAAGAGGCACCAGCCCAAGCATTGGTGATAGAGCCACCAAAACCCAGGGGACCACTGGATGTGAAAGAGAAGAAAAAGATTTTAGAGAGAATCAGAAACCCAATCCTAAATAAGATACAAGGAATAAACCTTTACTTCTATCCAAAAGACAGGGAGGAGTTTGAACTGAACAAAAGGCAAACCTATCTACTCCCATTGAGATAAAAATATAGATAAATAGTAAATAAAGTTCAGAGTTTTAGACAGAGATATTAGAAGTATAGAGTTGAAATAGACTTTAGAAGGAACTGGAAACCAGAGATAAACCTCTACTCCTGTTCAAAAACTGGGGAGGAGTGTAAATTGGATGATAGGCAAACCTATCTACTCCTATTAAAGAAAAGAAAATGGTAATAAAAGTTCAGTTTTATGCAGAGACACTAGAAGTATAGAGTTGAAGTAAACTTTAGAAGCAACCAAAAACCAAATCCTAAACAGGAAACAAGGGATAAACCTTTTCTCCTGTTCAAAAGACTGGAGAGGAGTGTGAAGAATTTCTTAATCCCATGTTACTTAAGGATGTAGGTAATCAGAGCTCTTCAGATTCCTTTTCTGATCTGCAAATCACTGTTCTTGGAATTAATAGTGGTTTCCTGTTGCTTTCTCTAGTTTTAAGGACTAGAGAACCCAATTTACCCTGTTATTTAGCACATAGTCAGGCTAGGAGAGGTGAAGAAATGTATTCATACCTTTCCCAAGTGCATTAGTGGTGCTAAGTGAAAGCAACAGACTAGAACAAAACTTAAACTTGGCCTGTTGATTCAACTTTCAGCACTGACCGCCATTACATGTCCGCAATTCCATTTCATCTTAATTCAGCTTTTATTACTTATTCTCAGAATTGGGATGGCTTGGTTGGTTGATTTTGTTTAGTAGCATGTTAACATCTCTATGGGTTATTTAATGTCGAAATCTAAATATTTTGACCACAATTTTATGGTTTCAACTAACTATATTCTAAATGCAATTGTATGCCTTCAATTACAGATAAGATGTATTCGTCATTTTGTTATAAAATGTACTGTTGGTAATTTTTTAATAAAAAAATGTATTGCTGGTATTTTTACTGTAACTCAGCTAGTTCCACTTTCATACTGTAAGCATTACACTACCTGTACATTTAATATTATTAGCAGAAGTAATTTTAACTTTAAAAATTATATTATTTAAGTGCAGGTATGTAAATTTATTTTTTATTGGTTGGTTTTATTTAGTGGCCTATCAACACTTCTATGGGTTATTTCATGATGAAATCTAAAAATGTTGAATACAATTGTATGGCTTCAACTACAGACAAAATGTATTTATAATTCTGCTTTAAAAATGTATTGTTAATAATTTTGCTGTAAGTAGGTATTGTTGGTAATTGTTTTATATAAAAAAGTATTTTTATGTTTTCATGTTTTGTTTATGCTTGGGGGTTCACTATTTGCTCATAGTTGGGACCCTAGCAAGTACTCCCACCCCAGGTCAGAGCAGAGTGGACCTGGGAACAACAGCAATTAAGAGGTGGTTCCATATTCTCCAAAACCTCCGATCTCCAGATCAGAGACGTTGCTGTCGGATGTAGTTTATCGTCATACCCAGGACTAGAATTGGGATGGAAAAGAACAAGTAACGGGCACAAATTGAAAAGACTCAGCAGCATCCATGAACAAAAGCAATGTCAATTGTTATCTTCTGTTTACTTGAATCCTGTTCTTTTATTGTCCTTTCTCCTCAATAACATTTTCTCAGTTTCTTTCACTCTCAGTAACCCCTTTTATCTTTGGAGGTGAAGTGATTCTTTCTTATTTAAAATTACTCTCTCATTAATAATGTTTTTCTTTTTCTCATATTCTTTCACATTCAGTAACTCCTTGTATCTTTGTGGCTTTATTGCTTTGGGTAAAATGATTAAAAAAAAAAATAAAAAATAATAAAAAAATAAAAAAATGTTATTTGGCAGGAATCGTGCATGCACACACACAAAAAATGTTTTTAAAACCTTTTTTTATGTGTTTATGAGTTTTAGCATTTTTAATCTTATATTTAAAAATGACTACCTGTCTGATAATAAATGCTCCATTTGTATACACATTTTGTACACAAAATATAACAATTTTTATGGGACAGGGTTAGTATTAAAAGAAAATAACGTTCAAGTTTAGAGTTTTAGCATTTTTAAATACACATTTAAATTTAAAAATTATTGTGTCCCATAATAACTGCTCCATTTGTATACATATTTTGTACACTAAATATAACATTTTTTATGGGACAGGGTTAGTATTAACAAAAAAAATCAGATTTAAGAAAAGAAATTTACCTTATCTTTGAAATGAAACAAAATATACATCTTGAAGTCAAAATGATCCGCCAAAGATTCTCGTTTCTTTCTCAGCCGGTGCCTTAGTCGATTGATGGCCGCTTGTTTACGGCTATAGGAATCACCCATTTTGAAGATTTTTTTTTTAAGTGGAACTTGCCACAAGAATTTAAAAAAAAAAAACCCCAAGAAACAACAAAGTTTTAAATCAAGAGATTTAAAAAAAAAAATAAATGGAGATCCAAGTGTTGTCACCAATAAAGTATTTTAACTATTATTGTTACTGACAGTAGATGTAAAAGCATTAAGAAAACTAGTTGATAGAAATAAACAAAATAAAGAAAGCCAAGTGGCCTTGCAAAATTTTAAATTAAAATTTTTAAAATATAATAAAAAAAAAAAAATAACCCCAAAATCAGGAAATAAGATTTCTTTTCTTTAAAAGAATTTTTCGAGGAGTGAAGCCTTCAACTTGAAGTGTTGTTACACCCTTTTAAAGTCTGCTGCAATATGGTCAAAATCTTCTATGACTTTTAGTGCCTTAGTTGTTTTTTGTGTGTATCATACATTCAAAATTCAAGAGGCATCTCACCTGGTAACAAGAAAGGCAATTTGTGCAACAGATTATTCAGTGGCTAAAACCTAAGGCTAACTAGGGACAAATATAACATTGGTTTTTGTCCTCATGCGCATCTGAAATTAAGATTCTGGGTGGGTTCCTTTTATTTTCTTTGATACTTTCTAGATCCTCAATTCCTTCACATCCTGGAACCTAGCAGACTATGTAGCACTAAGGATGTTCCTGGTTCACTTTTTAGACATCTAGCCCAGACCCAAAAAAACCCTCACCAAATTGTGATTACACACACAATATCTGCCATAACACGTCAACCCTACCTCAGTCTATTTACAGTTTTTGTCAGAGCCATTTTTAACATTTTGGGGTGGGGGAGTGCTTTAAAAGATATTTATCAACATTATGTTGGAATATTGATATACTTATGTATATTCAAGTCTTCTTTTAGAAGATGGAATGGAGGGAAACGGTCACCTGTTCATTTTTAATTTTTTGTAGGGGGGAGCTTGGATTTTTTTTTAATTTTTTTTTTTTTTTTTCCACTTTTTAAAAAATATTTTTTTTTAATTTATTTTTCAAATGGAGACATCTTTTGTAATATTTTTATATACATATTTTCTATGTATATAATTATTATTATTTTTTTTTTTGAGATAAATTCTCAAGTATTTTTTTTTATTTATAAGGCCAACTACTTTCACTACAAATATAGCTCCATTTTCTTTTTTGGTCTTCTCTACTTCAGTATAGAACAGAAATTGAAAATAAATCAAAATAATTTTTTAATATTTTTTTTTAGTAAATTTTTTAAAATTTTTATAAATCTACAGGTGAACAAATTAAGAACAAAAAAAAATATTAAATGACTATTTCCACTTTCAGCAGTAAGCTAAGGGCAAGTGCAAGATCGGGATAGGCATTGTCGAAGTACAAGCTGGTGTTACAAAGCAATGATGTTCATCACTTCGAAATTTACTAACATTTAAGTTGTGACAAGGTCTTCTCACTAAGCAAAGATGACCGACAAGATCACGTCTTTTCAAAATATCTGCCATTTTTATGCCTTTCTTTTTTCCTTTTTTTTTCAAATACTGAAACAAAATATTTTCACAAAACAGAAACTGATTTGATGACAAAGATTTTTTTTTTAAAGGCAGGTGTTGGGGATTGAACTAAGCTGCTGCTACTTTAACAATAAGGTCTGTTAATAATACTAACAGCTTCCAGAGACTTAATTAGACGGCTACTAGGCAGGGTTAGTAACAAAACTGGAGGGCTGTTGGTATAGTCTACCCGATACAGTCCCGATATTAGTAAGCTTGACATAATCGTTGAGTGAACAGAAAGAATACATATCAAAAACTTAGAAGCAAAAAAAAAAAAAAATACAAAAGAAACCACCACAACTATTAATACTACTACTACTAATATAATTTAGTAGTTAAATATATTTACTATGTGTTTGTGCGCATATGTAAATAATATACCCCCATTTCTACGACAGTCTTTGCGTTATCCACAACATTGAGGTAGTTATGGACGTGTGACAACGTGACAGAGAATATTAGAGAGGGGGATATGTAAAGATTAGAGAGAAAGATGAAAGGAGAGTACTAGTTACAGAGAGAGAGGTAGGAAGAGAAACTATTAGCAAGGGAGGTAACTATGCATTTATATTTATACATTAGGATTGAAGTAGATATCTACCTACATATATAAATGTTTTTCTTTGGGGGGGGGGAATCCTTAGGGTACCTTTCTCACATATAAATATATAGTTTCTAGATTTAGACTTATCATTTTCTCTCTAAAAGTTATAAAATAACCATCTTTTGAATAGTTAAAATAAAATTAATTAGTCTGAAGTTTTTAAGTTTTTATTTTTTAACTTGTCTTATGAATTGTAAAGAATTTAAATTTAAAAAAAAAAAAGGGATTCTTTAGAATTCGAAATAAGGGACAAATTCAAGTTTTATCTATAATTACAAAAGAAATAAAATTTAAAAATAGGGAACAAATAATAATAATAATAATGTTCCTTTTTTTTTTTTACTCTTTAAAATTAACTTTCATTTTTTTATAATTTTTTTTTAAATGCTTCACCGGCGAATTTCTCCTTTTGTTTATTTTTTTTTAGATGAATCAAAAGGAATAATTAAAATTGGGGAAAAAAATAAAATCAGAATTTAAATAAAAAATACCTTTTCAAATTTCCATTCAAAGAAATATGGAGGGCTCAAATATATTATCACTTTATGTTTAGTTTAACATTTTTTTTTTTTGCTTTTTAAAATTTTATACAAAGAATAGAACTAGTTTCTTAAAACCAGATTTAAAAAAAAAAATTTTTTTAGAAACTTATTTTTTGTGTAATTTCAGCGCAATATTTTTGGAAAAAAAAAATTATGAAACTTTTTTCCTCTCTTTGGATGGGACATTAATGAAATTGAAATAATTTAAGTTTTATTTATAATGACCTGAGAACAAGTAATGTTTTAAATTACTCAAGAGTAATAATTTTAAAAATGTATTTAGTGTTTATTATTATTATTGTTGTTGTCTTCTTGGAGGGGGGGAGAGAGGCTAAAAAAAAAAAAAAAAAAAAAAGAAAAAATATTTTTATAAATCATACACCCATCGTATTATTTGTTTTTGCTGTAACTTAATTTACAGCAATGGAATTATTTACGAATCAATTATCATTTAAAAATTATTTTTTTTATGATGACGGATCGTAACGATTTTTTTTTTTACTTTGACAAGATGGAAATAGATTTTAGCTGTTATCCTTTGTGTATGATTTTTTTAAAGGTTATTTGGTGTTATTTATATGGGTTGTAATTATTATTATTATTACTGAACGTGTTTTTTAGGCAATGCTGGACCGACAGTGGAGGTTTGTTGTTGCTGTTATTATTATAGAAAAGGGCGAAGATGGCTAGACTTCTATATACGAAGGCAGCAACCAAAGCCTCAGGAAGAGAAGAAAATTTAGAAAGAGAAGAAAGAAAAGAAGAAGAAGAAGTTTTCTTCTCGGGTGTTGGCGTTCCAGTTGGAATCGATGGCAACGACTGGCGACAAACAAGAAGACGGCGATGATGAGGAGAATAACAATAATTTTTATGGATTCCGGTTATGTGTAAGAAGCAATGGACCGGAGACTGTCTTCCGTTGAAATCCATACTCCCAGCGACTTGCAGTGCAAAAGACACTGCATATTTCCTGTCACGGCAAACCAGCTGCACCTCTGCATGGGAAAAACTGTACTTTCCTAGCCAAAAAATCAAACTGGAAAATAATGTCTGTTCTATCGGCAAAATAACCAATCAGTAGAAAAACGGAGATCAAACCTAAGTCTGTCTTCTTCTTCCACTGAAAAAACTAGAAGGCGAGGACTGCGCGTGCGCGTCGGTAAACATCGGCAATTTTCGTCAAACCATAACAATAGCTATGACATGTTATTTTTTTATTTCTAGCTACGAGCTCGACGTTCGTTATCATTTTTAAAAATAATTTTTAATTTTCAATACAATTATACTCCCTCCTTATCGTAGAATTATATTACCTACTAATATATTGGAAGCCTGTTGCATTCTGGGAAAAATAAACTAGGCATCATTCTGAGAATAACCAACTTGAGATATTTTTAAAGAATACGTCATTCCATTATTCTATTATACCATATTTTTTTAAGTGTAGATACACTATGTGTACTAGTGTATGCTAATTAATTTACTTAATTAAAAATTTACATATACACAATTTAAATATTTTTCATATTAATTCGTATACTTATGATATGAATAAATATCTCATGACGAACTAAAAATACAACTTTTACTTTTTAAATTATAACTAAAAGTGGACAGGGCAAAAATGGCGACATTAGGTGTGAAATCAAATTTGAGTTTCGCTTTTTAAAATAAAATTATTTTCTTATTCTACGAGTAAAATAAAGGAAACTTCTTCAAATCAGATATTATTTGTTTTAAAAACGGAGGATGTCCAGACAAAACAGTCTTCTTACTCTTTAAAACGACTAAAAAAAAATAAAAAGTAGTACTACAACAACAACTACATTAATAAATAATAATTTTTATTTAAGCCTTAAGCTTTCTTTACTTGTATAATTTAATTAATTTGATTTGAAATGAAAGTCATAAATCGAATCCCTTTTGTATGAAAACGGACTTTAATAACTCTTCTAAAGAATAATATCTTTTTTAACCAGTGAAATACCGGACTAAGTTTTGTGGGGTTGTTATACGCCCCAAGTAACTTGCATCCAATAATTATTCTTTTTTTACCGGTGTAGTTCATTTTTAATAGATAATATTATTTAATTACCCGGATTAAAATGTTTGACATTCCTTCTAATTATTTCACTAGTAAGTAAATAAACTTTCGAGATTTTTTCTTTGTTTTTAATCCTTCCACCGGAAACTAATGTCCATCATATATTTTTTTTTAAATATGTAAGCTAATAATAAACGGAAAAAAAGGAAAATAAAAAATTAAAAGTAAAGGCCGTTTTGTTATTTCCTACAAAAAT